TTACATTAATTGTTAGGAAAAACTAAATGGTAAAAGTATATTTATCAGTTAATTATTTGTTTACTATTCCTTTACCATCACTTTCGGATTCCCATGTTATAACAAATACTAACAAAACATTTCATTCAGAAAGAATGCTGAGAAACGGATGGATGTTTTACCTAAATAGCACACGGCATGTGGGAGTCCATGCTTACATTACTCTGAATCCTGTCCCCACAATTCTACCGGAAAGTATCATGTCTCTAACCAGCTCATGCGATCAATCAGATACAGTTTAGAGAAAGACCGTGTTGTGTTTTCTTGCCTCCTTTCAGTTACCCTCCTCATTACAAAGTTGGTCAAATTTTGTTGGTTGCTTATTAAAACTTTGCTGCATCTACATGTTTTTCAGACATTCAATCCATGTCAAGGAAGAGCCAGTGATCGCAGAGGATGAAGACTGCCCAATGTCCTTAGTGACAACAGCTAATCACAGTCCAGAATTAGAAGACGACAGAGAGATTGAAGAAGAGCCTTTATCTGAAGATCTGGAATGAGAACTGACTTGTAAAACCTCAGCGTGAAGGGACATATCGCTGACCTTCATAACCACTCCACAACCATGAATATTTGACAAATTTTTACTGTGACTATTTATTAAGCATGGATAAAGGAGACAGCCCTAAAGGAACTTATTAAGCCAGCCCTTTGGGATTCAGTACCAACAGGCAAATTGCTTGTTTTCTTCTCTTTTTTTTTTTTTTAGAAAAAAAGACAAAAACTGATTTTCTTGAAAAAAAAATGAACTGTTCTTTCTATAATGGCTTTGCCCATTTAAAAAATGTGGCTCTTAAGGGTTCATGAAATGACTGAATATGAGGATACATGTCCTGTAGAAAGCAAATGCGCCTCATATACTGCCAAAAATAGTGTTAGTTTCATTAATGTGAATTTTCCAGCATTCAGTAGTTGTAATGTTAGAAACAATTGCTGGTCAAGTTCAACTTGTTGCTATTGTTTTTAATTTGCACAGGAGTAGTATCAGAAATTAGTGTCACTGCTTGTATCTAGCTGAATTTTAAACAACAGAACATTAGTTTTTTATGTTGGTGCCACCAACTGTAAATGACATAAGTTAGTTATTACAAAACACAGTAATTAGACTGTTGCAACCATCTAAAACCTTAGGCTTCCAGTCTGTGCTGTTAGTGTTAAGATGTAAAGTGCAATCCTAAGCTAACATTATCTGTGCAAGCACCATAGAAACATTTGCATATCTGCATAGATCTTACAACTGTACTCTTTACCTCCTTGTGATAAAGCTTTGTCTACCTGCAAACACAGTCAAAGGCTACAGCTGCAAACCAAAGCCAACTCTAACCATGGCCAAGAGCTCAAGGACAGAAGCAGCCACATGCTTTGGTCAGCCTTCTGTAAACTTCAATTAGTACAAAGGAAACTTTTCCATGAACTACCTGCTGTTTTCTGATGACCTCTGGGATCTTTTCATTTAGCCCTAAACAAAGAAACAAATATGACAAAAACCACAACTAAAAAAGCTAATTCAGTCACAGAGTAATCTTCTGAGGCCAAAAGTCCATCTAAATACAATGAAGATTTGCTTTCATTAAAGACAGAGGTGAGGACAAAATCCGCAGTGGAAGTTATGATATGCTAGAAAGCAACAAATGTGGATCACTGACCAAAACGATTACGTACTTGATGCAAATGCAGATTGCATATTGTTATATAGAGAGTACTTTGTGTTTTTGTTTTCCCTCATTCAGTCAGTTATTTTCAGTGGTGAATACATGTTGTTAGAAGATGTCTTGTATGGTCTTAATCTTTGTTGTGTACTATTTTTTTATAGTCTTAAGTTATAATGAAAAAACAAAAAGTAGGAACCAAACATAAAAGGTCTAGTAAAGCCAAAAATTAATTTCATATTGATTTTAAAGTGATCTAGCTGAGTTTTTACACTGAAAGCAAAGATTATAGCAATTGTAGTCCATGGTATTTATTTTCAGTCAAACCAAAGTTACATATAATTCTGCCTCTGCTTATACGGGATATTAACACTAACAATACACTCCCTACAAAGACTTGTGCAGGCCAAATTGTTGGAATGCTGGTTTTCTTGACAACTCCAAACCCCAAAACTATGATAATGCGTTATGGTGTAGTTGAAAATAGCATAGTCAGATGTTTGCTTAAAAACTAGAAACTTTACGTGTTGCTTTTCATGTGCTGTGCCAAGTCTTGATAATACTTTTTCCCCCAACCAAGGGACCTCATAACCTGATTATGGTTATTGCTTTACAAACAGTTTTGACAGAAGGTGGCTGCTAGAGCTTAACATACCAGTTCCATGTGATGGAACCGGTTCTTGCAAACTAAGCTCATCATTGATTCTTTGCTGAAGTCAGCAAATAGAGTTAGCGAGATACCCAGTCATCTATCACACCAAATAAAAGGACATAACGGCTTTCAAAAGGGTTTTCCCACTTACCCAAAAGGCTTTCTGAAAGCTTCTACCTCTGCAAAAAAAAGAGGCACAGGCTGGCTCGGCTGGCACCTCAGCCTGCAAAAAAAAAAAAAGAAAAAAAGAAAAAAAAAAAGAAAAAAATTAGAACAATTATGGCAGATTGCATGAAACGTGAGAACGTCACAGTAACTGCTACTTTTCATTATGTTTGTCTTTGGGTCATGATCAATGAACCGGAAGTTTACAATATGGTATCAAAAGAAAGATTGGTATTGTGAAGGATGGTTTTCAGTCTTCTAGGATCCTGCTGTAAGGATTCTCTAAAGGGAAAATGGGTCTTTCAGGTGCATGTTCAAAAGGCTTTGATGGACTGGAAGTAACTGTGAGAGTTGTACCATCAGGAGGGTGGCCTAAGACTACGATGCTAAAGTATGCATACCTCAGTTACAAAACTTTTGAAAGGAAGTCTCAGCCACAGAATGCATATACCTGTAGAGTTTTGCATGGGTTTTATATGAATACAATTTTAAAAAAATAGCTGCTTGCACATTATACCAGAAAAACCTCCAAAACTGCAATTGCTTTGAAAATAGATTTTAGGTTTTTTGGAGTTTTCTGAAATGCTTGGTCTGTATTTTGATAATTGTGCATATTATGTAAAAATGTTGGTGGACCCATAAATGACCAGACTTTTTCTAAGAAAAATGTTGCTTTAATGCATTTCATGAATTTTTACTCTTATATCATTGCTTGCTAGGAATAGCAAATCTGCTTTTCTGCATCTGCTTTGCGTAGCTATTGTAAGGCTTTGAACTAATGTATGTATTTATTGCTTGAACTTCTGTGCATACCTTATAAAGCATAATGTCTGACAATTTAAATGGCTCATGTATTCTTGCTTCTATCATAAGCTGATTATGGGGACTATGATCTTTTGTATACAGCAAATTTTAAACTGTAGCACAAACATCTGTTTATGTATTGGTGGAATATACCTGTTTTATTTATCTTTTTTGAGGTAAACTAATTTTTGATACTTTTCATTACTGTGTACTATGTTCATACTTTGAATTCTCTGACGTTAGAAGTCATGGTTGAGAATTGTAACAGCTGTTATTCGTTCTGTATTCATGGCTTTCACTGCTGAATAAAATAAAGGACCAAACCTAGGATTTGAAAGAAAACTGTCTACCTCTAACACCAGGGAGTTATCAGATTTTATTTTACATAGTTTTAGTCTACAAAGACACAATTGCTTAAACCTAGTGGGCTTAAGGCTTATATTCTATGTGGTTGGATTCATGGCACAGTTGTACTGTTTGAAAATCAATTAAAATTTTATGTGAATGTTACAAGTATTTGGTAGAATTACCACTAACTGGGTTTTCTTTAGATAACTCAGATTTGGAGAAAATGTCATCAGCATTCTGTGTCTACAGCTGCTTAACTTCATAAGAATGCATTTCTTTGTGATTAGGGAATCGAAGAATAGTCAGCTAGGAATAGAGCTACAGAAGTACACTTAAAATAAACCATCCTGGACTTTAATGTCCCTGCACAGATTCAGTCACAAAATCCAATATGATATTTTGTAAAGTTTTCAAGTTGGGCGTTTACACTTTGGAGAATTTATGAGACTTCATCTTACACATGCCAATATTAATGCACATTTGGACAATAGCTTTACTAATGCCATAAAGCTATTGAAAGGAACATGGCTTACCCTTGTTACTTCACTAGTTCAGGTTGCAATGAAAGGTTTTTTTTGTCCATGAACACTTGGCAAATTTTACTTAGCAAAAAAGAAGGATGTACATTTTACTATAGAATTAATGTATGAACAGTGTGTCACTGCTGTTGGATGTAAAAATGTATATGAGACCATTTCATTCACTTGATTACATTTCTGAAGTATAAATAAAAAAATCTAATTCTTTTTGACCCATTTATAACCACTAGGATTTTATTCTTTCGGAGAGACCATTCTTCCATGCCAGAGCCAAGTCATAAATTTGTGTACACACGTCCCACAATTTGTTTAAAATCATTTCCTTAGGAATTGGGGATTCATAAACCAGACCATACTCAAATGTAGTCAATAAAGGTGGGGGCTGCCTGTCAAATGCATTCCATTAAAAACTATCTTCAGGTTCAAAATTGCCTCCCCACACAATCATCTCATGCGTTTATGTTTTTATTCTAACAGAATTTGACATCATAAATTCTGAACCTTAAAAAATGCCAGGGGAAAACATGAATACTCTTTTTAACTTTATGACTTTTTTACTTTATCCTCTTTTATTATTATTACTTTTTGCCTCTCAATATCAGTCATACCCACGGCATCCTCCCATGGTTCAGGGGAATGTACAGGAATAAAGTAGCTTTCCAACGGAATGCATTTTAGGATATTAGTGATCCATTCCAGACCTATATTAGTGGCAAAACCAGACAAGATAGAGTCTCTGCATAAGGAAAATTTACCTCTTTTTTTAACCTCAATATATATTCCTAAAGCTGTCATAATCAGGAGTAAAAGGAAAATGAATATGTTGAGTATATTTTTATTTTATGTATAATTTAATGTTTTCTGTCATCCTAGTGAAAGGATATCTTTACTAAAGAGCTTTCCACAGGATAAAAAATTGTTTAAAAGAAATGTGAACGTGAGATTAATTTTTTTGAACCTTAGAATTCACTTTTTTTACTATCAATTAGTTGAAAGTAATGATTAACAACTTGTCCTGTCCAGAATATTTTGTGAACTTACTAAAGACTATATAACAAGATATGAATCCAGTCCTGGCATTTTCTGTAATATAGGGAGAACAATTTAAAGATTAAAACTAACAAGAAAGAAGTAAAACTCTGATTTGGTAAATGTTTTATCCCTGAACCTAAATTCAAACTCATGTCATCCTATAGTTTAAACACTGTGAGGCAAAGACATAAAAGTGTAACCCTAATGTTTGTACCCTCACAATATCCTGAAATAAAATAAAATAAAAAAACTGAACACCCTTAAAAATGCCCCATTTACTATTTTAACTGTACTACTAATTTCTTTATTAT